AAGTTTCTTCATTTTTATTTATGTTCTTCATTTCCACTTTTTTCATTTTAAAAATCAAGGTCATATTTTTTTAAAAAAAATAATAATAATGGATGAACATCAGTTTTTTTTTAAAAACACTTTTTATAGAGTTTCTATACATTATTGTGTGAAAAAATAATCGACGAAAGTGTGTTGTTTCTTTTTAAAACAAATAATTAAATTAAATAACACCACATATTTTTTTTCATATCTAGTCTATTTGGACTAACTCGAATACCAGCTTTCTAATTTTTCATTCAATGAAATACGAGTAAAAAAAACTCATGTTCATTGCTAATTTATAACACTATAAAAAAATGTTGAAACTCGATAGACTTCATTAGGTTGTCATTGATTTTCTTAAGAAAGAAAATCGACGCACTTTCATCGGTTATTTTCACGCAAAAATACAGGGAAACTCTCAAAAAGAAATTGTTACTTTTAAAAAAAAAATCAATCATCCATCAATTTTAATTTTTTACAATAACTAACGGATGAGCCAATTTTTAAAATACAAAATTGCAGTTGAAGAGCATATATAGAAATAAAGAAATCATAAAATTAATATTTTGTGTTTAAATGGTACGTAAAAAGTAATAGACTTGAAGGGTTAATCTTTTGTTATTTTTTAAAAAAATACTTTTTTTGGTCTTTCACTCTCTTAGAGAAAGTGTGATGCACACACTTTACCACATTACTTAGAAGTGCTTAAATGGAACAGAAAAATTGGAGTTGAAGGGTTAAAATGGAACAAGGTTGAGTTGAAGTGCCAAAATGAAATTTAGGAACAAGTTTAAGGGTTTGCATATGTGTTTGGCCTTCTAAAAGCCCACCAAAAGATGTGGTGGAGCGGATGGGGATGCTCCTCACTTAACCAGAGATTTGGGTTCGAATCCTAGATATGAAAAAATTCTTAGTAGGGAGCGACACCAGATAAAAACCAAAAAAAATACACATTTTTAGAAATTTCAGCTCCACAAATCCAATGGGGTTTTAACCATACATTTATTACTGATTTGAATCTATCACAATTGAATATATATGAGTAAGTTTCACCATCTCTTAAATTTCTATTACTCCTCGATAGATCAATGTTGTTAATTTAATCAGCAATAGGGTTAACTTAATAGTAAGGAGTAATAATTGCTAGTATTTAATTCTTCTCATTTATGGTTAAGAACCCACTATCCATCTACACAAAGAGAAATTGGATCATACGTATTTGTATTTTAGAATGTATCTAGTATCTTTGATACATGTATTTGACTTGATATCTAAAAGAATAGTGTATCTGACTTGAAATTTGGCACAAAATTATTAATTAACAATACACAATGTAATTTATTATAAAGTGAATTAGTATTTATGGTAGAAACTATGAACTATAAAGTAAATTAGACTTGATTTCGCAATGAATTGATGAAGTCAAGTCATGTTGTCGGTGCCATAAAAAATTACCCTGTTTTTTCTTTGCACCTTTATTTGCTTGTACTTTTAGTGGATCATTGTGTGCATATTGCATTAAAGTTTCCAAGAAATTTCCTACTTACTTCTACCAATGTACATATTTATTAAAATAAGTTTTTTGTCAGGTTATTTATCTTCAATACAATGAACTCTACTTTTCATGCTTGGCCACTCTGTAACATCCGGAAAATTTGAAATAGCTAAGAAGAGGCTTAGAATTTGAAAATTTTCATTTTTGGAAAGGACTTGAAAATTTGGAAAAAATTTGGCTAAGTATGAAATTAGTGATTTTTGGCCAACTTTGAGCAGTCATAACTTCTAGCTCAGGATGAGTTAGGAGTAGTTCCAGTGATGGTTGTGAAGCTTGTGGAATGATCTTTCCAACGCCACCAAGTTTGCTCAATTCCGAGTTCG